TGTTCACAGACTCATACAGCACTAGACATCCTTCCTGGGGAAAAGGCAATCAAGAGTAGTCTCCCCAGGCTGCGGAGATGCAGGACTCATTTTGATCCCCTGCTTCTGTGTGTTCATGAAGAGGTCAGAGGACAACTTTCAGGAGTTGGTTCTCTCCTTCCGCCGTGTGGGTCCTGAGGACCAAATCTAGATGGTCAGGTCTGGCAGCAGGGCCTCTACCCCCTCAGCCACCTCGAGTTCCAGCATTGTCCACTTTGGCCATTTTGCTTGAGATCAACTTTTAAAAATGTATTTATTTTATTTAATGGATGCTCTGCCTGCATGTATATTTGTGTACCACGTGTGTGCAATATCTGTGGAGGCCAGAAGAGGGGGTAAGACCTCCTGGGATTGGAGTTAGATGGTGAGCAGCTATGTGGGTGCCAGGAATCCAACCCAGGTCCTCTGGGAGATTCGCCAGAGGACTTAACTGCGTCTTTCCAGTCCCCTTGATACCAATTTTTAGAAATTATATTTTATTTTTTTTTTGTCGAGAGAGTGTGTGTACGCACGTGTGTTCACATGCTTGAGAGACTGCGTTCGGAGATCAGAGGATAACTTTTGAGAGTCAGCTCTCCTGCTACAGGGTGAGTCCCAGGGATTAAACAGAGGCCCAAGCACCTTTACCCACTGAGCCCTCTTGCCAGCCCTCAATTTTTTGTCTGTTTTTTTTTTTTGTTTGTTTGTTTTTTTGATTGTTTGTTTGTCGAGACAGGGTTTCTCTGTGCAGCCCTGGCTGTCCTGGAACTCACTCTGTAGACCAGGTTGGCCTTGAATTTAGAGCTCTGCCTGCCTCTGCCTTCCAAGTGCTTGGATTAAGGACATGGGCTACCACAGCCCGGGCTGAAAGTGTGTGTATGCCAGTTACCTTATTTTTGTTTTCTTGTTTGTTTTTGTTTAGGTCTTTTTTGTTAATTTCTCTCCCCCACACCTCCACCCCTACTCCCACTGAAGGCCAAACCAAGGGCCTTGCTCTTGCCTACCACTGAGTTAAATCCCCCAGTCTTCTCTTGCCATTTTTTTTTTTTTTGAGACAGAATCTCACTCTATACTTTAGAATGGCCTCAAATTCACCATTCTGCTTCAGTCTCCAGAGTCCTAGGATTTCAGGGGTGTCACTATATCTGTCCAAGACAGAATATTTAGTGGACTCTGACTGTCTATGAACCGGGGCTGTGTCTGTCTCCTTACCTGCTCGACAAAGTGAAAGGGTCAGGTGGACAGGTTACCCGGCCCTTTCACCCCATTCCTCCCCAGTTCCTTGCTCTATGGAGAGAGGCGCCTTCAATCCCCGAAAGGAAAGGAACAGCATAGAAACCTTAAGCCTGTGATATCAGCACCTACTAGGTTGCTGCTAGACCATGGCGGGAAGAAGCCAGCTGGTCTCTGCCCCCTACAGCGACAGTCATGACAGCTGAAGTTATGATGCTGTTCCAGACCACGGCTCTTTATGATCAGCTTCTGCTTTCTTAGTTAAGCCACACTGCGAGCGAGCGAGAGCGAGAGAGAGAGAGAGAGAGAGAGAGAGAGAGAGAGAGAGAGAGAGAGAGAGAGGTAAAAAGACTTGTCCAAGTCTATACATCTTAAAAAGAGTAAACTCGTAATCCTTGCCTAAAACTTCCACCTTGCCCCTTGGCTGGACCTTCCCCTTCCCCTTGTTTTTACTGCTGCTGGCGGAGGTGCCCTGCACGGGCTACTTCACCTCTCTCTAAACCTCCACTTTCTTTCCTGAAATGTACAGACAATAATTCTTCCCTGGCAGGTGGAGGAGGTTTCCATACACTGAGTGTGTAAAACACAGGGAGTGGCGGGAGAGCCATCACCCGCCAGCACCTTTTGGGCCCCCCAGGTAGCGGGCAGAGGAGAAAGAGGTGACCCGCAGTCCCCATCAGAAGACTGAGTTTCAGAGCCGTCCAGCTGTCCTCCGAAGGCGGGACAGCAAACTCTCCGGGGCTCTCGGGTTCTCCCCAGGCTCCGTTCCACATCACAGCCGATTAGTTACAGATACCGTCCCCTCCTCATGTATCACTGACAGCGCAGAGAAAGGGGTGATTGTTCCTCAGGAGGAAGGGTCTCTGGGCCCCTCTCTCCCACGTAGCGGAGAGCCGGCACAGGGATGAGAGAGGGTGGAAGAGGAAGGGAAAGAGGGCAGACACAGGAAATGAGCGTGCGGTGGGTCCCAGGCAGGTGGACAGACCAGCTGAGGGGCCGCACCGTGGACAGCAGACAGACAGGGGTTCCGGGCTCAAAAAAAAAAAAAAAAAAAAAAAAAAAAAAAACCCAGAACGGGGTTAGCAGGAACAGAGGGTAGCTCTGAGCATCAGATCCAGCGCCGCCGTTTCCTCGACAGTAGCTTCCAACTGTGGAGGGCCCTTTCCCTCTCCCCCTGCCCCCTCCCCACTACTGGATAGATACAACTCAGCAGGTGCCTGGCCTCTGGGTCTCACCAGAGCTTTCCACATCTCTGGCTGGGATCCAAATTCCTTCCTTCAAAGCAACCAGGGTGGGCCAGCCTGTCAGAGCCCCAGCTTTCTGTAAAACTGACTGTCAGGCCAGAGCCTGGAAGAGTCTAGAAGGAATCTGCATCCAGAGACTATCGGGAAGCAGTCACCTCCGGAGCTACCTCGTGCCCTTGCTGGTCCATGACTTTGCTAGGCCCTACACTACAGCACCGGGCCAGCCGTGTGCACAGTCCCTCTTTGTCACTCCCCTTAACACAGCTGAGAGCAGCTGGCATTTCCACAAAGGGCTTTACTAAACACCAAGGAAGAACAAAAGAAAATAATTACAGAAAACACAAAAAACCCAGCCCCAGCTGCCAAGTTCCCAAAATACAGGGTACCATTCCTTTGGTGACAGCACATTGCCCAAGAGGCCTGGGACAAGGCCTCGGGCACCCGGCCTGGTTCTCCTTGTTCCCAGGCCTGTGGTGGGTGCCATCTTTCTTCCCACCCTGGGAACCCTTTGGTCACCCATGGGTTCATCTCTGGCGCCTTTCCTATTCAGCTCTACCCCAGGCCTCCCACTGGGCTTTAGGCTATGGCTAAAGGCAGGAGCCTTGTCCCCTAGAAGTTAGCTCTCCACACTTGCCCCTGCTCCAGAGGCTTCTACCCTCAGTGAGACATGGTGAATGCCGCGGAAGAGCCGATTCCTTGGCAGATGGGAGCCATCTTCCCTATGGGAAGAAGAGGAGACTTGGAGGGTTGGACTGGTCACACTGATTAATGAATCCCCTACTGTGTGCAAGGTGCTAGAGAAACACAGATATGCAAGAGAGAGTATTTGCTCTTATACATCTTAAGGTCTTTGAGGAAAGCAGGTGTGTAACAAGAGAGTCGGGTGCCACTCCAGAGGGTAAATCCGGGTGCTGTGGTAGTGACCCCGAATGAGGGACGCAATAGGATGCTACTTGGAATAGGCCCCGGGAAAAGAGCAGGAGGACAAGGGGCTTTTCCTGGGCCACCTTGTCACCTCTGAGGGAAGCGTCATTTATGACGGAAGCTATAAGATAGTGTTTGGATTAGGCCTCAGGAAAAGGTTAGAGGTGGGAGGCCCAAGAGCAGGAGGACAAGGGGCTTCTCCTGGGCCATCATTGTCATCTCTGACGTAAGTGTCATTTATGAAGAAAGTTCTGATAAGGTGTTCCGAATAGGCCTCAGGAAAAGGGCTCTCGGGTAGAGGTGGGTAGCCCAAAATCATGAGGACAAGGTCCTTTCCTGGGACGTCATGACACTTCTCCAGAGGCGGGAGCTGAACTGCCCCTGCAGGGCAAGAGAGGTCACAGTAGGGGAGAGGTTCACATGGTGACACCAAAGGAGAAAGCCAGTCAGATGGTGTTTGAGACAGTGCCTCACTGTGTAGCCCAGGTGGCTTCGGCTTGCTATCTCCCTGCCTCAGTCTGCCTAGTACTGGAATGAAAAGCCAGCCCTACCAAGTCTAACTGAATCAGCAAAGCTGATTTGACATAAGTCAAAAAGTGGCGATGGGATAGTGAGGGCGTCTCAGAGAAGGACTGCGGGGGAGCTCTGTGCTTGGGGGCCAAGTGCTGACCTGTATCACGGGAGTCCATGCTGCCTCACCCCGAATGTTGACAACCACTTGCCCAGCACTCTGAGAAGGTTAGCTCCCCAGACTAGGACCTTCCTCCTCCTACATGTGGTCTTCAGCACCACCAGGACAGGGTGGGAGTAGTTAAAACCTACTTGGTGGAACCGTGGCAGAATTCAGTGAGTTAATGTGTTGTGAGCAGCAGGTCTGCTTCTTGGCATATAAAGTATGTTCAATAAACATCAGTTTTCCCCTTAAAACAGCGTCAAGGGACCATTGCTGATAAGCAGCTAACGGCTGGACTGGCCTGTGCCATCCTCGTAACAGATGGATCTGCTTAGAGAATCTCAAGGACAGCGGATGCCAATGTTGTGTGGAGGGTGGACGGGCTGGATTGTGATGGACAGAATGGTTGTGTGCATACACATGTGCTTTAGAGTGTACAAATCCTCCATCCATTGCTCTTCCACAACGGACAGAAATAACTTCTTGTTTTCCTTTTGTCTTTGCTATGCTCTGAAAGACTCTGGGATATAACTGGAGCATTTCTATTTCTTTTTTTGTTTTGTTCTGTTTTTCAAGACAGGGTTTCTCTGTAGCTGTGGAGCCTGTCCTGGAACTAGCTCTTGTAGACCAGGCTGGCCTCGAACTCACAGAGATCCGCCTGCCTCTGCCTCCCGAGTGCTGGGATTAAAGGTGTGCGCCACCATTGCCCGGCACGTTTCTATTTCTTTACTAGAGACCTGAAATTGAGTTAGAGACCATGCCCAAGAACTACCATTAGCAACACATGCACACACAGAGAGACACGCACTCGCACACACGCACGCACACATGCACTCACACATGCACAGGGCCTTTTCAGTGCTCCATGACCCTATGGAGTAAGCGCTGTCATCATTCACACTTTGCAGGTGGAAGGAATGCACTTAGAGACGTGGTTTGAAGTCGGCTGCGTGTCTGTCCAGAAGGAGGGCCACAGCACATGGGAGCAGAACCACTAGCTCTTCTCCCGGACGGAGATGATGATCCTCGTGCTGTAGAGGTTTTGGAGTCTTTCTGACTTCTGCCACCTTACCCACTTTGGCAAATTTGTCTCACAAACCAGAAAGCTGCATTTAGAAGGGTCTGGAGTTTAGGGACAAGAGACCGAGGGACACTACCCAAGGGGCTGCGTTCACGCGGGAATGATGAGGAGAGCTTCAGCATCCCCAGCCGTCTGTGGGAATGGAAATGTGGAGGGGTCATCCATGCTGAGTCTCCAGAGTTTGGGCCGGGGCCTGTAGCACAATAGTGCTGGGAGCTGGGGAGATGGCTCAGAGGTTAAGAGCACTGACTGCTCTTCCAGAGGACCCAGGTTCAATTCTCAGCACCCACATGTGTTTGTAACTCCAGTTCCAGGGGGTTTGACTCCCTCTTCTGACCTACCTCTGTGGTCATAAGTGGTGTGCAGACATACAAGAAAACATACTATGGCTAAAGTAATATGCCACGCACCGCGGCCCCGGTCTGCGCTCTATGCGCTAGACCCCAGTTAGTGAGCTTCGGGCAAGGGGCTGGAGGTTGAGAACACAGACGCAGAGACAGACCGACACGCAGACCAGCTGGCCTCGAACTCCCAGAGATCTGCCTGCCTCTGCCTCCCGAGTGCTGGGATTAAAGGCCTGCGCCACCACCGCCCGGCCCAAAGCCTCTCTTTAATAGCACCATGTAGGCTTAAATACAGTACAGTCAATGGCCAACAGGTGAAAATCCCATCCTCTGATCCTCTAAGCTAGGCACAGCTTCTAGTAACTTCAATTAGAAGGTTCTAGGAGAGAAGAGCAGCTGAAGACCAGGACTCATTAGTCCCAACACTAATACATGTCAAATGAAATAATTTGTGAACAAATGTATGTACACACAATGTACAGATCCCTATTCAAGTGCAGTTACCAGAAAACATGCTCAGTCTATTCACTATAATACAGATAATTAAGAATATACACCTGGGGGGGGGGGTCTAGAGAGATGGCTCAGAGGTTAAGAGCACTGACTAGCTCTTCCAGAGGTCCTGAGTTCAATTCCCAGCAACCACATGGTGGCTCACAGCCATCTATAATGAGATCTGGTGCCCTCTTCTGGCCTGAAGTAATAAACATAATACATAATAAATAAATCTTTTTTTAAATTTTTTTTATTGAGAATAAGAAAAAAAAAGTTTCCGCGTCCTCCCAGCCTCCCATTTCCCTCCCCCTCCCCAAATAAATCTTTAAAAAAATAAAAGACACACTTGGGCCAGTGACATACATCAACAGATAGGAGTGCTTGCCACCGAACCTGACAACTTGAGTTCGATCTCAGGAACGCACATGGTGGAAGGAAGGAGAGAGCCAACATCAGAAAGTTGTTCTCTGACCATCTCCATCCACATGTGTACCATAGCAACACACATGCACACACAAAATAAAATGAATGTTAAAAGATGTTCAAAGGGCACCCGCTGGTGCACAATACACACTTGTGCACACATACACAGATCCATCTGGGAGACACACTTAAACGCTCATGGGAACACAAGATGCTCTGATAGAGTGTGTATCACATTGGTCCACAGCATCCTTCCCCCATGCGCATGTGCAGTGACCCTGCACCATGCTCTGGAGCCAGGAAGACAATCCGTCTGCTGTACAACCCCAGCATGTTGGAGCTCGTCAACATGTTCTTTGCAGCCCCCGCTTAGCTGGCCATGACTGACTGGCCCCTGGCTCCTGGGCTCAGAGCCTGCCAGACAGAGAGGCAGCATCTCTGGCAGCCCCTTGTGGGTGGGCAGCAAGCCACAGACGCAGAGGTCACTGGGGGTAAGATCCAGGACTGCCCTGGCCTCCCTGCCTCTGAATGGAATGTGATCCCAAAGCCACCTCCCAAGGCCCATCTCCTCCCCCACAGCCACCCACCGGCTTCTGACTCTGAACCCTGCCAGGTTTCTGCAGTCCGCAGGCAGGCTAGTCACTGGGGTTTGCTAGGGCGGTAGTGATGAAGAAAGACCGCGGAAGCACAGACACGCATGGTCACACCTTGATGCCCAGGTATTCACACACTCAGGACACACACTGGCAGGTAGGTACACACTCACTATCCCATCAAAACACACACGCAGATACACTTTCAAACATCAGTCATCTTCAGGGCCACAGGGCACACACACATACCACACACAATCATACAAGCACACAGAGATACCAAAAGCCCCAGATCTGTGACACAGAGATTTGGATGCTCAGTGGGTAACATATACACACTGTTTCATAGTCCTACACACAATGCCCATGAAGACACCACCTCTGTTCAGTACATCCCTGCTGCTCCTAGAACACCACGTCCTCCTTCTGCTTGGACTCAGGAGGTGATACCAGGCTAATTCATTCCCTACCTCAAGTAGGTTGGCCTGGCCTGACAGGAGGAGGTGGTGCCGGACCTAGGTATAGCCAGGTGCCCTGGGGTGTTTCCTGTATGCTGCCCACAGTTGGGCTGCCCTGTGCTTGCAGTACGAGTTCAGGTAGTAGATGGAATAAAGGCAAGGTTCCGGAGGCACGTAGCTTGCTTTCTTTCTCTGCCAGGTCCCTGTCCACGCAGGCAGATGCCCGCTGGCACACACACACACAAAACACACACACACACTTTTCTAGGGTAAATATGAACATTGTTCAGCATCTGCAGGTGGAGCCCTCTCATAGGATCAGGTTCTTAGTTTATAAAACGGGCTTAGTAATCTTTCACTCCCATCCCCCGGGGTTGTAGGCATGGCAGGAACTGGCCAAGAGCGGTCATAGCAAGATGTCGCCTTCTTAAGGCTGTGATCCCTGTAGAGGTCACTAAAGTACCCAGCCGTCTCCAGGGCAGATGTTGGACGTCAGCACTTGAAGGTTCCCACCGAAGGTGGCACCAGAAGAGCCAGGTGCAACCCTGGCCGTCGCGGCGGGCTGATCCCGGAGCAAGCTAGCGCCAGGCTCGGAGGGGCCTGGCGAACTCCGAGGGCAGCGACCCTTCCACGCCCTGCGGGGTCACGCGCACACAGGTCTCACCGCCAACCCTCTCCCCCAGCGCTCCCGAGCCGCCACTCCTGGGGCCTCGGGGCTCAGTGGGCGGGACAGACTACAGCCACGCCCCTTGTACAGCCTTGAAAACCAGCGGCGGACTAGCTTCAGTTCGTAGCGGAGCTGCAGTCTGAGCAGGAAACTGCATCTTCAGACTTCTGCTCAGCCACGAGAGGAGCTAGGGTCACCGGACGCCTAGGACCCTTTCACAGTCATCCGACTGGCCGCGCCAACTCCCCACCAGTTTCCTCAGCCTTACCTGTGATCTCAGGACTTCCCCGACTTCCAGTGGATGCTCAAACTGACCCAGGACTGCAGTCAGTGGGACACTCAGCCCCTTACTCAGCTCTCCTCCCGTATCAGCGTCTCTCCCAAGGGGAAGAGCATGGTGATTGTTCCTTGAAGAACCCTGACTCTAGACGTCTGAGAAGATGCTGGCCATGAAGCTGTTCACTTGCTTCTTGCAAGTCCTGGCTGGATTGACTGTACATTCCCAGGTAAGGCTTCTCTTGACCTTCTCGTCCCAGCCGTAGCAACGGGGGCTACGGTCTGAAATTATAGTCTCACTTTGGAGAGCAGCTCCTGCTGAGATGTTCACGTTTTTTCCCAGGGGGTGGTCTGAACCTCAGGGAGGAGACCTCTGGCTGGGCAGTCCCCAAAGACTGGGGGGCTATCTTGGTGGGGGCAGGGAAGCCGTAGGGAATGAGGGAGGTTTCCTGTCTGGCCCCTAGAGCCCAAATGGCTTTGCTAAAAGCATCACTCCACTAATCCCAGTCAGTTCTCTGGCCTTGTGGTCAGGGTTGAGGCCCCATGACCAACCAGGCGCCCCCAGGACCTCTGACCTGGCCTAGTGGGGGAAGAAACCAGCTAAAGAAGCTTGCGGTGGGGAGATGGGGCCCTTCCCCCACCAGTGCTCCAGTTGAGCCGCGGGATCTTGGGTGGGCTTCAGATATGACAAGGGATCCTGCCATGCCCTTTTCTCCTGGTGGGTGGCAGCAGGTCCTGAGTGCAGGGCCTGGGGAAGTGAGCAGGGCCCTTTTCCCAGGAGCTGGGTGAGTCTGGCTGGGAGCCAGACTGGGCAGCAAAATCCTGACAAAGCCAATGCATTCCCTTCCTGCTGCACTGCCCCTGCACTGCCCACTGCCCTAGGACTCCTCAGCCCCAGCCCAGCGGTGCATGAGTTGTGCAGTCCTCTAGCTGAGCAGCCAGGCCGTCAGCCTGCTTGCTGCAGTGTTAGCCTGAGGTGTAACGTTACTGGCAGGCAACACCAGCTCATGGCGCCGCCTGCTCCAGCCCCTGAGTTCCCACCAGCTGATCACCTCCCCCTGGGCTCTGGCACCTAGCCAAGGCGGGCTGTAGAAGGCCCAGCAGGGCTGGCCTGGGGGCTGGGTAAAAGAGAGACCCCACAAGATTATAAGCTCTTTGGAACACGAGAAGCCTCCAAAAACCTCTAGTCTCCTCCCCTTTTCCAAATGAGGAAACTGAGGCCAGAGCATCAGGTGGTTTTTAGCAGCGCGAAAGAAGAGGCAGCTCTGAGACAGAGTGGAGTGTGTGTGGAGGATGGGGAGGAGCTCAGGGGGGACTCACAGAGCAGAGCCCCAAAGAGATGCTCCTTCCTCATAGCTGCCCCTTTGTGTCCACCACAGGGGACCCCGCCTGCTGGGAACAACTCAAGAGAAGTGGAAGGTAAGCCAGCCAGGCCAGCTGTGCACGCTGAGCCCCTCTCTTCTTTCCTAACGAGCGAGCCCCAGCAGAGAAGGAACTGGTCTGAAGGGTGGTCGCAGGCCAGTAGTAAGCTGGAGAGGGTCTGCAAGCTGAAGTCCACCTCTCGTGACCCAGCAACCTAGAGAGGTGTGGTCATGGTTTAGGGTCACCAAGCACACAGAAGCAGGGCAGGATAGCCAGGGTGCATCCAGCTGGCTCAGAGCCCCTGCCCAGCATGCTGTCAGGGTGCAGATGGAGTCTTAGTGGACAGGGTTGGTGTTGACTGCCAGAGACCAGGCTGGAGTTTGGGAGCTGAATGGAGTAGGCAAGCAGTCAAGGGGCTTAGTCAGGACGAGGAATCCTGTGTGGCTCTGACCAGGCCTTTCCAGTGATTACAAACAGACGGCCTGTGTCACACCCTCCCTCGCCCTCTCACTCTCTGCCCTGGGTTGTGTCAAGACATAATCTTCAAAGGGCAGTAGGACTTTTGCCAAAGAGACACACATGCAGGAGGCAGGGAACTCATGCCAGGTCCTTTCTCCTTCTCCCTTCCTGCCTCTCTGAGACCCGGAGGATGGCCACATGCCATGGCTGAGGCTTCCAACAGCACCATGGGAGAAGGGATGTGCTTGTAGGGTTGTCCTGACTTACACGGATAATAGCTGAACTGCTGTCTCAGGCTGGCAAGACCCTCTGCTGGCCTGCCCACTTGTCTCTTCACCAGCCCCGTGGGAGCCTCATCTCCCCTGCCTCACACCTGAAGCCTGGGCCACTGAATGGCTGAGAGAAGGAGCTCCTTCAGCTCCATGGCCTTGCCCATTTTCTGAGCTCTCTGACACTGGCGACGTATTGTGCTCTCTGGGGGTCGAGGAGGGCCGCCTCTCTCACCCCAAGATCATATCCCTTATTGATAGTTTTAGTATGTAGATCAGGCACCAGCTTTCAAAGATGTCTCAGCCTCGGTCTCCTCATCTGTGAATTAGGTAAATACTTGATATTAAAAACTTTTCCCAAGGCTGTAAGATTCTGAGTCCTTGGAGGAGACAAGAGTGTCTATACTTCCGAGGACCCCAAGGAGAAGGCTTGGAGGTATAGATTCGGAGTGTAGGCCAGCTCACCTGTAATCCTAACAAGCAAGGGGGCCTGTATTGTGACCAAGGAAGCACCAGCTGTTAAAGTCTGACATCACTATCCCCTCCCGCTAACACCAGAGTCAGAGGCAGCTCGGTGGGTGCAGTCACAGCCGCTGATTTCCACCCCTGTTCTTCCGGGTCCTAGGGATGGGCGTGTCCTGTTACTTGGCTTGACCATCAGCTATGCAGTAGGAAGGTACCAGTGTTTCACAGATGAAGAATCTGAGGCTCAGAGAGGCCCCAGGGATCAGGCAAAGCTCCAGGCACTCTTCAGTGTAGCCGATAGAACCAGCTCGCTCAGCCCCAGGCCTCCCAGCTGGGCAGGAGCTGAGCAGGCCTGAGTAGAAGTGGCCCTTGTGGCAGGCTGGCAGGGTGCCTTGCCAGTGGCCAGTGGCTACTGCAGACCTTTCCAGAAGCTTGCCATCAGGACTGAACAGGGTTCTTCTTGGAGTTCTTCCATCCTGGGTAGTATGCCGCTGGGGACAGATGGCTGCTCACTCACAGGGCTGGACAGGTAGCTGAGGAGCCTATTCTGGGCCCAGTCCCGACAGGAGGAGCCCTCCCAGTCCTGTCACTACCCACTTCCTACCCAGAACAGGTTTGGGGTTAGTGGGAATGCTCTTTGCAGCAATGAAACCCAACCTTTTCCTGAGGGGGCAGTCACACATCTGGGAGGAGCTGATGTCTGTGCTTAGGTAAACCAGGCCTCCGCTCAACTCTCTGGGCCTTTCTAGGCCAGTAAGAAACAGGCCTCGGGATTTGGGGGTCCTGGAACCCAAAATGTTTACATGATAGGATGTGTGAACAGTAAGGGAGCTAGGCCCCCTTTGCCGCTGTCCTTCCCTGGTGGCTGAGCTTTTTGTGCCGCCAACTGCTTCTCTCCCTTATTTACGTTTCCACGCAGAGATTAAATGTTCGTAGTGGCGTGGTGTTCAAGAGGCTTTAGACTAAACACGAAGCTCACGACGCTGGCGAAGGGAGGTGGCCTCTGACCCATTGTACAAAGGCAGGCTTTCCCTGGACTCGGAGGCTGCCTGTGAGGAAAGAGGCCTCGTTTCCCCACTTGGGTCCAGGGAGAGTGTCCAACAGCCTGGAAAAGTAGAGGGTCCCCACATCCCCCTCCAGGCCCTGGTCTAGCCCAAGTGCCTTCAAAGAGCAGCGTAGGAGGGGACACCAGATGCCTAGATAAGAATGGTTTATTGCCTTGGTGACTGCCCCGGCAGCCCCGCCAGCTCCACATGGAACAGCCTCTTGGGTGTTTTCCACCAGCCTGTAGCCTTTGCCGAGGGTCTCTGCTATGTCTGAAGTTTATTTTCCTTCCTAGAGCCACATCCTCGCAGGGTCTGTGGGATGGACTTTGGCCCCCTCTCCCCCTAGGAAGTACCACAGAAGCGAGGGTCTGCTGGGGAAGGCCACTGCTCTCTGTCAAGGCCAACTTGTGGGTGACCCTGGTCCCAAGTCTCCCATGAGTTGAGAGGATGGTCATCAGAAGTGGAGCAGGCTGATCCAGGCCTGGTGTCAAGGCTGACCAGGACTGTACACCAGGGCACCAAACCCAGACAGTCTGTCAGGGCCTACGTGACCTTAGCAACCATCTATTCCCAAGCTGCTTCTCGCTCCCAAGCCCAGGAAACTGATATACCTGGAATGGCTAAGTGACCTCCCCAAGGTCATACAGCCAAGTATAGGGCCTGGAGCCAGATGGTCTGGCTTTGGCTGTTCTCTGAGAGCCTGTGTTGGAGCCCTGGTACCAGGCTACCCCTTAAAGAAAGAGCATCTTTGGAGGGATTCCAGATCAGTCCCCCCAGAGATACCAACCACCATCACCACCAGGACATTGCAGGGGTCGGGAATGTTCCTGGTAATCCTCCGTGAACTGTCACCTCATCAGTCAGGAGTCACTGAGCCTGTGTTTACCCGGGGGTCAGCTCCTGCCTTCCCAGAGCCTCGTTTTGGCTCCAGGGGAGATAAGAACCACCAATGATGGTGGGAAGGATGTGAGCTGGGGACCCAAGCTTTGCTCCCTAGCGGAGCACCGCTCCTCGCAGAGCAAGTGCCTAGAGAAGGAAGGCTTCAGGGAGGAGTGGGGGCTGGGTAACAGGCACATGGTCTTCCTTGGCCCACGCAGGGTAAGATTCAAAGCTGAGGTCAATACTGATATGTCCTAGCTCCTGTAAAGGGTGGTGGGGCCACACAGGCCGGAGGCTGGATCACGTGGTTAGGCATGCTCTCGGCTACAGAGGAGTGATGTCAAGTAGAGCGGGACACGAGGGGGCTGTGATGGGGTTGGGACAGAGGGCGAGGGAAGTCTAGCCGTTCCTGGTAGGAGGACTGTCTTCAGGAGTTCTTCGAGGCTCAGGAAGCACCAGGTCAGGCTGGAGAGAGACCCAGGGCATAGTTCTCGAAGCTCCAAGGAAGACTTGGAACCAGAAAGAAAAACACAAGGAGAACTTGGGACCTTCAAAGATTCTGCTCTATTGACATTTAAGCCCCAAAGAGAGCTAAAGGATCAGCAGGGACCCTAGAGTGATGGCGGCAATAGTTCAGAGCAGAGGGACCCCACATAGGTCCAGGGGCTTCATGGGAGAGGTGAACTTTGTGGGAGCTGAACCCAGGAGCCACGTCTGGGGCATCAAGGAGCAGGTCCCTGCTAACCTGATCTGGCCTTCTGTCTCCCTACAGTGGTGCCCTTCAGTGAAGTGTGGGGCCGCAGCTACTGTCGACCAATAGAGAAGCTGGTGGATATCATCGATGAATACCCTGATGAGGTAGCATACATATTCAGCCCATCCTGCGTCCTCCTGTCTCGCTGTTCTGGCTGCTGCGGGGACGAGAGTCTGCACTGTGTGCCGCTAAAGACAGCCAATATCACCATGCAGGTAGGGAAGCTCTTCCTGACCCGCCACCATCTGCCATAGCCCACACCGTATCCCGAAGCCCACGGACTCTCTAGAAATTACCCAGAGAGGGACAGAGGCAGGTCAAGGACCTACAATAGGAACTAAGTTCCCAAGCCAGTGTCCCTCATTGCCAGCACAGGGTCTGTCCATCTAGGCTCTGAGCCCCTCACAGGCTCCTCACTGGTTCTCATCTCTCCCCTCCCACAGATCTTGAAGATCCCCACTGCTGGCGATGCTTCCTACGCGGAGATGACATTCTCTCAGGATGTGCTCTGTGAATGCAGGTAGGTCCCGGGTGGGCAGCAGGGACACACTGCGCACCTAGCAAATGCTAAGCCTCAGCAAATCTTCCGAAGGCCCCTGGGGCAGAAGAGGGGCTGCCTCCCCTGCTGCAAGTGGTCCCCGGCAGACCCCTTTCCATTTTCTCAGACACCCTCCCAGACCTGAGGAGCTGGCCTCAGCCACCCGCTCAGCTGCTAAGATATCACAGTAGGAAGGGAAGGCTGAGTCTCTCCCAGACTGCCAGGGTCCCCCCTCCCATGCATGTCACACCTCCACCCTCTGAGATGAGCAGCACCTGCCACAGGCCTCAGGAATGGGTGCAAAGACATCACAAGCCTGTACTTGATTCTGGAACGGGCTGCCTGCCCACCAGAGGGAGCAAACCGTGCCAAGAAGAGGGCAAAACGAAACCCTCAGAGAAGGGAAGGGACAAGAAAATAGAGATACAGCGTTGTCTTTAGGGTTGCAGCTCACTGTCCCCGGAGAGCTGAGGCCAACGCTCATCAGCCTTGCTGTTTGTCCCCCAGGCTCTTAGAACCGTTGCTGCTGGGGACAGCGGCCTGCCATGCCATCTAGGTTCAGAAAGAATGAGATAGTTAGATGCTGCTCTTTGCCATGGCCAAGGGCACCCGATTAGGGGTGTGGGGGCCCAGTCTGGAGCTGAAAGAAGGGGAGGGCAATCACCCCTCACACACGTTTATCCAGTACCCACTGTGGGCCATACACTGGCCGAGGTGCTCGGGATACAGTGGCGAGCAAGATAGTAGAGATTCATGCCCTTGTGGCCAGCTCCTTCGGGCGCGCAGAGGAGGAAAGTCAGGCTCCGTGCAGTTCCCTGCCTTGTGAGCGCGGAAGAGGGATCTAGGATTAGATTTGGCCCGTCTCACTCCTGCAACTGCATTTCCCCCGCCGCCTTTCCCGGCAGTCACCATTTCTCCATAGCTCTAGTACTAGCTCCGCCGCCTGGCCCTGCCTAATCCCAGGACTCTAGCTGCCTGCTTTGAACTTGAGCCCTGGCTCCAGGCTCTATCCACTATGCCAATATTGGGGGCCTTGATTCAACCTGTTCACTTCAAGTGAGGTAACAATAGCTCAGTCATGAGCCGCCCACCGCTCGGCCTTCACCTTCTCCATCAGCTTTGCTCTCCCCGTCACTCTTAGGACAAGGTGTGACTGGGGAAAATGGGCCAGCCCAGGACAGCACACACTCAGGGCCCCTGCTGCCCCTCCCCGTCCTCAACACTGTCCCTGGGAAATACTGAAGTTATCCCCTTCCATCAGGCCAGGCAACAGGGGCACCTTTCTTCTCACCGCTGGGCCAACAGCCACGGCCCCAGAAGGCAGAGCTGGGACATGCCTGGTGACTCCCTGCTGTTGCCACGGTGGGGTGGGGGTTGGGGAGACGCTTGAGCCCAGGAGAGCAGCCTTAGCTGGCCGCCACCATTGCCCTGTCGTCCACAGTCTTGTCCATCATTTACTTTCCTTGAGGGAACTCCCAGAATGCACCCTGGAAAGAAAAGGGGGAAAGTGAACAGAGAAAGTATAGTAGCTAAGGACGGATCCGAGATTTGATGCCAAGAGGCTAGGGCGAGCAGAAACATGTGATGAAGAGCCCCCAGGGGGAACTCTGGCCTCTCTGGAGGTTGCCAGGACCTAGGTAGGGCAGGAGCCCAAGCACTGGGACCTCTGCCGCGGTTTCTTCACCAGCTCCCGTGCTGCCTCCTAGTGGCGCTGGCGCGACTGCGTTACCGCCACTTAGAAAAACCGGGAAGTGGGGAGGTAGAGGGAAGCGCCCACTTACTCTTCTCTCCTTGTCTCTTTCTGTTTCCCTAGGCCTATTCTGGAGAAGACGAAGTCAGAAAGGTAAGCGTACTGGCTTGGAGCAGTTGTGGGACCTGCCAGCTCCTGTCCTAGCTGAGAAGCCCCAGCTATGTTGTGCTGATGTTTGGCTTGTTGCAGGAAGAAGATCAAGGGAAAGAGGAAGAGAGAGAAGCAGAAACCCACAGACTGAGGAACCCCACCTGTGAGTGTGCTGGGGCTCAGGGCTGGCAGAAAGGCTGGGTCTAAGGGGCGGGGGTGGTCCCGGCAGCAAGGGCCAATGGTCAGGGGTGGGTGAGGCAAAAGCTCAAATGAGATCTCGAGGTAAGAACAGGGAATTCATGTTTTTTAAGGACCAAGGTGCATCAAGGGACCTTAGTTCTTGCCCCTTATCTCTGCGTGGCCTTAAAACAATCACTTTCCCTGTAAAAGGATGGGGCTGGCATCTCAGCAAGCATTGGGCTAGTCTACAGGCCTCTGCCAAGCACCACTGTGTGCCAGGCACGCAGGTGACAGCCACACTCTTCCAGTGTTTGCCTTCTGCTCCACAGCTGGCCACTTCTGGGCAGCCCTGGGGAAAGCGCAATACCCCCCTGTCGGGTCCCCTGGTCAGTGTCTCTGTCTTTGGGTCCCTTCCTTCTTTTCTCTTCTCTGTTCCTTAACCATCCTGGCTTCGCACCTCGGGGCAGCAGGTGGTACTCAGGCAACAATGTAGCTTGAAGAGGAAGACCAGGGCAGGGACTCCCCCACCAGGTAACCAAGTTAGTGGAGTTGCATATCACACACACACACACACACACACACACACACACACACACACACACACAGAGAGATATCAAGTGCCGCCCGGCCATTTCTCAGACGTGGGTTCTCGGACGTCTCGTTCAGGTATTTTCCCAATGAGACCATCAAAACCTCACGTGCCTCTTGCTTAATTTTAGGTTGGCCATTAACATATGCAGGGTTATTTTAAATGGTATGCTATGTAGCCCACGTTGGCTTTAAACTTTCAGCAATCTTCCTGCCTCAGCCTCCCAGGGGCTGGGTTTACAGACATGCACCACTGCAATTTTTTTTCTCTCTCTCTCTCATTTTTTTTTTTACTTTTAAAATCATATTAACAAACAGTTGGGTTTAGAGGATCTAGCTTTCCGTAAGGGGAAAGGGCTGTAGGGAGGCTGTAGCGAGGACAGGCCTCGGGCACCTCCTCACACAAAGTTAAAACGGAATGTCCAAGAAGGCTGAAAATTCAGTTCTTACAAAACAAAAACAAAAAACACCTGTTTGGGGGGTGGGGATGTAGCACGGTGGTAAGGAGCTTGCCCATCGTGTGAAAGAATCCTCAGTGCCACAGAACATATAGTAAAAGAATACAAACAGGCCGGGCGGTGGTGGAGCACGCCTTTAATCCCAGCACTCGGGAGGCAGAGGAAGGCGGATCTCTGCAAGTTTGAGGCCAGCCTGGGCTACAAGAGCTTGTTGCAGGACAGAGACACCCTGTCTCAAAAAACAAACCAACAAACAAAAAGCAGACGACGAAACCACTGTCACCGGTTCTCAGTCTTTGGAACGTTTGTCTGAAGATTGAGGTGACCAGAGACATTGTTGCGTGACACCAGATTGACTTCAAGTGTCTCTGTCGTGGAACAGTTGTGTGGCCTTAGGCAAGTTTCTTAAACTCTCTGAACCCTCGCCCCTCATTTGTGAGCAGGTAACATCCTTGTGGGGTGTCATGAAGAGGGAGACAGTGCTTGGCAAGGGTGCTAACTGCTTGCTGGCCTGGGTGTGAGCAGCGGTCCCAGGGTGCTTGCTGCTCCTTGTCCTCTGCACCCGCCCTCCTCTAGAGGAGGGGGCCTCATCCTCCACAGTGCCCTGAATCTCCCTGACTTGTCTGTGTTTGGTCTCTGGCAGGTTTGGTGGTGCTGTTCCCCGGAGCTGACCAGCCCCTCAGAGGAGAGACCCCACACCCTGCTCATATATTTATTACCGTCCCCCTCCCAAATCCCTCCCTGCTGGTACCTACCCCCCTCTATTTATTAGCCAACTCGACCCTGCTGAATGACTTGCTCCCGCCAAGATAAGGAGCATGGAAGGACAGGACCCTCAGGAATTCAGTGCCTTAAACAGAACGTGAGAGAAGGAAAGAAGCCAGCCACGGTTCCGTGGGAGCTTCGGCTTGGGAAGACGCAAGACATGGACGTGGCCTCGCAAGGGGCAAGCCAGGCCCCTGAGGCTCTGGTTCTCCAGGGAAATGGAGAAGGAAAGAGAAGGCCCAGTACCTACCCTGGTCCCCAGCTCCACCCGGACAGCAGCTCTGGCCATGGCTGCATTGAAGACATGCAGTAGAGGGGACCCAGCCATGTCCTCCTCCTGCTGCAATCAACTGTTTACCCTGGAGACCAGGACAAGACATTCGGCTCTGGAGAACAGAGCCTGCCTGTGGGCTTTGCCTTTCAGCCTAGAAGTTCACTTCTAGGCTTTGCAAAGCACCCCCCTGCCCCCTCTCTGGGACATAGGCAGAGTGGCCTGGGACTGGACAGAGGGCAGGCTGCATGGGGGATAATCATCGCTGCAAGGACTTTCATCGCTGCAAGTCAGGGGCGTGTGTCCTAGTGTTATGGCTATGGAACGCAAGCAGGTTCCTGGAGGGCCCTTGCAGCTCACCGGGTATCTCTGCCGGAACTGTCTAACTGCCAAGCCAGATTCTCTTGAATAAAGCATTCTCATCTGAAACCAACCTGTCTAGGCTGTGTGTCTTCTAGAGCAGAGAGGGGAGGGATGTGGGGGAGGCAGAGACCAGCATGGTGGCTCCGAGCCTCGCTAACTCACCTCAGAGAGCCGTCTCAGGTTGGGAGGGGGCATGCCACCATGGATGACATCATATATGTTTCCCCTTTCACAGCTGGGGAAACCGAGGCCTGAGAAGGCAGGATGGATGATGGGCTGAGAGTCAGAGGTCAGCCTTACCCCAGGCTTGCCAGGGGACACTGCGTGTCTCTGCTACTGCTCTTGGCTGGACCTCTCTGCTTTGACACATGATAAAGGAGCTTTGCTACTGTCTTGATGGCCCTGGATGGTCTTCAGAGACTGTCCCCAGATAGATTATTTCAGGACTGCCCCCGGGGCTCGCCCATCCCCAAACATACAGTTCCACCTCTAAAAGTTGGGGAAAGGTTTGGCTCCAGGCTCCTCTAAACCCCATTTTCCCAACCCAAGGCCACCTTATACCCAGCCTGGAACCTGCACTCTGGATAGCCTATAAGTGGGTCTCCTCATGTCCTCAGACCTCAGGAGGGCTACCCTGTCCTAGGTTTGCTGAAGCACAATGTCCCCTCACTACTTGGGTCCTGGATGCCTGGATCGGCTGCCACCTTCTTCCTTTTGCCTCCCAACTTCCTTCACTTTCCTCCCTTAAAAAAAAATTAAATAAATAAAAAAAGAAAAACTTGTATTTCTTCGAGTCCAAACCACTTTCTAACAGACACTCAGCCGCTCCTGACGCATGAGGAAGTGTTGTGTGAGCACCTTTTTGGACTGTGTGTGCTGGTTGGAGAGCCCTACTTTATCTCTTGAGGCTGAAACATATAGGGGCTCAGGGGAACAGAAAGGGGCCTGCTTATAGGGTGCTGGTTCTCTCGCTTCCTAATACTAAGACCTTTTAATACGGTTTCTCATGTCGTGGTGACACACAGCCCCCCCAACCATGCATTTATTTTTGTTGCTACTTCCTAACTAATTTTGCTACCGAGTGGTGTCTCAGTTCCTAAGGCCTTGGGAAATAGGTGTTGTTTGGTGGTCTCGACCCACAGGTTGAGAAGTGCTGCTTTGTTTGAAGGTCACGACAATGAGCAGGGTCCAGCAGGCTCTGTCTGTTCACAGAAGCTTGGAGCCCTGGAGGACGGTCCGGTCTGGCAGTCCGGTCAGCATGTGTTCCTGGCTAGGGATCAGAGAGGGTGTGGGCTGGCCCCGGGGGACTCAGCTAAAGAAATGGCTTGCTTCTCTCTTCATCTGCAGCTGTGGGAAGACATCGTCGCTGGCTGGGTTCTCTGAAGAAAGCACCCCTCCCTCACTCAGGCCTCTGGCTGGGCCCTGAGGACCCCAACTCCACCCTGTAGTATCTCCAAGGTTTTCAGCTCCCATTCAGGCCAGCCACCTCTGCAGTAACCTAGACAGAGACCAGGGCAGTTCCTAGGTTAGAGGAAGAAACCCTTGTCCTTGGCCGGGCTGTTCACTGCAAGAACAGTAAGAAAAGGAACTTTTTCTTCTGTTCTGAATGGTGGGTGCATTCAAGCAAGCCGACGGTCCTCTCAAGTCATCTGGGTCCTCAGGGACCCGTGTAATGGGCTTATCACTCTTTGATGGAATACCACTCAATCAGACGTTCTGGAGGCACTGTGGGTAACGGCGCACGCGTGCCCTTTGCCCTTGGCTCTCATTCCATGGAGAGTTGTGTGTTAGAGGCTGCAGGTTGTCATTTCAGTTGTGGGCTCAAAGCTAAGGAAAAGGGGGCTCTCGAGCACCCAAAATTCTAATACAAGAAACTTTAGGGCCAGATCAGAAACACTGGCCTAATTAACTCAGCAAGTGTTAAACTTGAGGGAAGAGGTGAGATGGTTCAGTGGTTAAGAGCACAGCTGCTCTCCCAGAGGACCTGGGTTTCATTCCCAGCACCACACACGACAGCTAACAACCATCATTTCTGTAGTTCCAGGGAATCCGACACCATCCTTCTGGTCTTTTCAAGGACCAGACACACATGTGGGACTCAGACATATACACAGATGAAACACTCGTACACATGGATGGATGGATGGATGGATGGATGGATGGATGGATGAAGCTGAGGAGCAGAGAGGGGGACATAGTTAAGAGGGGCTAGCTTGTCAGATAAAGGTGCTTATCTTAAAAACTCTATGGCCTGAGTACAATCCTTGAACCCCACAAGAGGGTAGAAAGAGAGAAATTACTAACTCCGCAAGTTGGTCTTGTGACCTCTACATGTGTGCTGTGGCACTTGCCACACACACATATACACACGTCATGCACACATACACACACACTAATAACAACAACAACAATAAAAAATTAAAAATCTATAGTTGAAGGTGGGCTGGCGATAGAAATCTGTAATTCCTGTACTCTGGAAACTGAGGCAGGAGAGTCAAGAGTTCAAGGTCAACCTGAGCTACACAATAAGATTCTGACAAAATTAAACAGAAGGGAGGAAAGAAGGCAGTGAGGAAGGAGGGAAGGGTTTTGCCTCTCCAAAATGCAGCGGTGGAACATTAGAGATGGCCTCCACACTGCTCTGCTGGAGGTGACCCTTCAGTCCCCCCCTTTGGCTGAGTTGAGCTGGCTGCTTTGGCCCACAGCCAGTGGTTCTTACGCCAGCGTTCAAGAACACCGGTGCTTCGCCTTGGTCCCTTGGAACGCTCAGCTGTGATGGTGTTAGCCACCTTGAGGTCACTGTGTAGGAAGCAAGCTCAGACGACCGACCGTGGAGGAAACAGAGGAAAAGGCTCCATCAAACCCAAGCTCCCCTGGCTCCAGCCCTCACAGTTATCTCAGCTGACGCCTCAGGAGGCTGGATGGGGAGAGCGTTCAGTGGCTAAGAGCACAAGCCGTTCCTACCCAGGACTTGGGTTCAGTTCCTAAAGTCCAGCTTGGGTGGCTTACAAACTGCCTGTAATTCCAGATCACAGGTATACAAGGCCCTGGTGAGTATATAGGCCCACACATAGACATAATTACAAATAAAGATTATGGGGCTGGAGAGAGGGAGGGGTCAACAGGAAAGAGCACTTGTTGCTCTTGCAGAGGACCCGTGTTCTGTTCCATTTTCTCACCTTTGTAGGCACCAGTCACGCACATGGCACACAGACAAACATATAAACTACAAACAAAACATCCACACGTGTAAAATAAAATAAATAAATCTTAAACATCATTTTTGGTGATTTATCTTTATTTTATGTGCATCAGCGTTTTGCATGCTTATATGTCTGTGTGAGGGTGTCAGATACTGTTTTGAACTGCCGGGTGGGTGCTGGGAATTGAACCCCAGTCCTTTACCAGAGCAGCCATTGTGCTCTGAACTGCTCAGCCATCTCTTCCGCCCCTAAACAAATCTTTTTAAAATAAAATAAAGGTTAGAAGGGAGTTTACAGGCCTCACGGAGCAAAGGCAAACTGTTCCCGCCACGTCCTGCTTCCTCTCCTAGTGGGATCAGGGATCAGAATGTTTTAGAGTGGCTTGCTCTGCAACAATAAGTAATCGGCACAGGAACTGGGGAAAGGCAAAGAGGCAGCGTTCCAGAGAGTGCTGTCGACCAGGGGTCGCAGGAAGCCTCATCGTGGGGGGTGGGGGGGGAGGAGTATGAACACACATTTACATCGTTTATGACATTACGGTCACTCAGAGACCAGAGTGCTCCAAACGAGGACACTGGCAACGGGGTTAGGAAGGCTCCAATATGACTGGAGCCTGATGGGCAAGGAAAGGAGCCAGGAGCCAATGGGTTTACTCTAAAGGCAGGTAGAGAATCAAAATCTGGTGCAATGTGGCAGAAAACCTTCAAAAGGTGTTAAGCTATAGAAGAAAATGACACACACCTTTGTTCTTTTCTTCTCTCTGTCTCTCTGTCTCTCTCTCTCTCTGTCTCTCTCTCTCTCTCTCTCTCTCTCTCTCTCTCTCTCTCTCTGTCTTGAGACAAGATCTCTCTACATAGCCCTGGTTATTCTGAAACTTGCTCTGTAGACCAGCATAGCTTCAAGCTCACATAGACCCACCTGCCTCTGCCTTCCACGTGCTGGGATTAAAGGTGTGCACCATCACCGCCCAGCTACCACTGGTCACTTGGAAAATGTTCTCTAGGGACACAAGGTTGAGAGGTCACAAAATTTCATAAGATGGCAGCAAATCCAGGCGCAATTACGGTAGATGGTTCTAATGATGAGAGGGACAGGGCACAGAGAGATAAAGAGATTTTAGGGCACTCCCACATGTGCTCTGTCCACCTGGTTCCTAAACTTCAGCTGAATCTCAGGGCCAGGCGTTTTGGAGTAGATACATAGTAATTGTAGGTAGTAGACAGTGATGGGGCAAAATATATCCGCATGCAAACGTCCCACACTCCCACTTCCCCATCTGCTAAAGGAAATTCCATTCTAAAGTATTTAGGAAGCTAAGTGCAGCATGGCAGAGAGGCTACGTTGATCTACTTAAGAGAAAAGATAAATGAGGAGGGGCTGGAAGTAGAAAAGGAGTTTGGAGTTTGCCAAGAGACTTTGGTGGTAGAGAACACCTTGGGGCATGAAAGAAGTGTTGTAATAGGAGCGGCGGGGCTGCGTCCCCAACACCCCGGCCGCTTGGCTAGCTCATGCCCGAAATAACAACACACAAACTGTATTCATTTAACTGCTTGACCCATTTCTATCTAGCCTCTTCTAGGCTAATTCTCACATATTAATTTAGCCCATTTCTAATGATGTGTGTAAGCACCCCAAGGTGCGCTTACCGGGAAGATTCTAGCCTCCGTCCATCATGGTGTCTCTGCTCCAGAGAGCAGAGCTGTCCGGTCTCTCTGGGAGCAGAGCAGAGTCTGACCTCACTTCCTCTTCCGCCCAGAATTCTATTCTGTTTTCTCCTCCTACCTATGCTTTAACCTATCAGGGCCAAGCAGTTTCTTTATTGTTCAGCCAATGAAATCAACAGATTGATA